TCACACTCCGAACAAAAATATTTTTTTTTAACATTCTCCCCACTTTGAACGAAATGACGTTTGGGAAGAGATTAACATAATTAAACACAGGCAGTAAAAATACAGTTTTAGCCATACCCTGTAACTTTAAAACTACACATCCCATCTTCATAATTACATATTTGGAATCAGCACACTTAAAACATAAACATAACCAAAAATCAGCTAAATCCATCCAGGGGTTAAAAAGTTAGCTGGAGGTCCCTTTATGACCGACCGCAAGCACATTTTCCTGCCCAAAACAGTTCCATAGATTTGGGCTGTGAGGTCGGTCTATTTCAGGCTGAAAAAACGACTAAGTCCCATCGCCGAATGGGACTTAGTCTCTGCAGCTGAAATAATTTCCCATTTACTGAACCAAGTGGGAAATAGCAAGGCAGGCACAAAGGGTTTGCACCAGGTCTGGGGACACAGGGGACACCGTCTTAAAGGGGCCGTGTCCCCAACAAGTCTGGGGACACGGCCTTAAAGGGGCAGTGTCCCAATCTTCCTGATGTCCCAAAAAAGGTGTTTAAAGGGCCAGCACCAGTCACATAAAGAGTCCATAAGCCCCAATATGCCCACCGACAGTCTTAAAGGGCCATACACACCAAATAAAAGTGCATACATTTTCACAATCTCCCAGGGGCCATAGTCATGCGGGAGGAGGCTGGCAAGTAGGCTTCTCCACAACCCAGGGAAGCAGGGCAATTTGCCATTTAAAGGGCCCGTTACAAATAGCAGTTTGTAACAAGGTGTCAATCCATATCTGCCAAGTGACCCGATGTAGGGGGACCAGTCCCTATTCTGCTCTGTGTCAGTGTGTACCAGGGAACCTTAGGACAGGTGTCAATCCATATCTGCCAAGTGACCCGATGTAGGGGGAACAGTCCCTATTCTGCTCTGTGTCAGTGTGTATCAGGGATCCTTAGGACAGGTGTCAATCCATATCTGCCAAGTGACCCTATGTAGGGGGAGCAGTCTCTATTCTGCTCTGTGTCCGTGTGCATCAGGGGCTCTGAGGACAGGTGTCAATCCATATGTCAAGGTGTCAATATGTCATATGTCAGGTGTCAATCCATATTGATTGTGATTTAGGAATGTTAGGTGATTTCTGCCCTTTATGGATTAAAACCAGACTCTGTATCAACTGTGTAATTTTCCATGGGAGTTTTGCCATGGATCCCCCTCCGGCATGCCACAGTCCAGGTGTTAGTCCCCTTGAAACAACTTTTCCATCCCTATTGTGGCCAGAAAGAGTCCCTGTGTGTTTTAAAATTCGCCTCCCCATTGAAGTCAATGGCGTTTCGGGCGGTTCGCCGGTTCGCGAACATTTGCGGAAGTTCGCGTTCGCCGTTCGCGAACCGAAAATTTCGGGTTCGCGACATCACTAGTACACTGATTGTACCCAGTGGCGTACCTACCACGGTCGCAGGGGTTGCAGACAGTGGCGTACCTACCACGGTCGCAGGGGTCACAGCTGTGACCGGGCCCCTCACTCCAGGCCGTGGGCCGCCTTGATACCTTCTGGGCTGGTGCACAGCCCCTTCGGCCAAGGTCTGCGGGTGTATGTCAGGAGGGGAGAGCTGTGCTACTCCCCTCCTCCCTTTGTGTAGCGTGGCTGAGTGGTCTGTCAGATCGGGATACCGCCCCCCGTGCTCCCCCTTTCATGAGGGGATTTCTCCCCCCTGTGTTCTCCCTGCTCTGCTCCCTCCCACGCAGTTTGCTGATGCCAGAGCCGGAATATGACGGCCTGCGCGTCACGATGGAGCAGAGCATGGTGAACACAGCTCCCTCGTGGTCTCTGCCGGAAAAACAGCCGCCTGCTGCACTGAAGCCCCACTGGACCCCAGAGACAGATCCACGCCAGCTCTCCAGGTAAGGAGGCTGGGTGGACATTCTTAAATTTAAAAAATATGAATAATTTGTGTGTATCTGTGAGTGTGTGTGTCTGTGTGTGTGAGTGTGTGTGTCTGTGAGTGTATGTGTGTGTATATGTCTGAGTGTGTGTGTCTGTGAGTGTATGTGTTTGTATTTGTCTGAGTGTGTGTCTGTGTGTGTGTGTATGTGTCTTTGAGTGTATGTGCGTATATATCTGCGAGTGTGTGTATATGAGTGTATGTGTGTGTCTGTTAGTGCATGTGTGTCTGTTTGTATTTGTGTGTGTAAATCTGTGTGTCTGTATGTCTGTATGTATGTGTGTGTGTCTCTACATGTCTGTGTGTGTATCTATGTGTGTCTGTATGTATGGGTCTGTGTGTGTGTATGTATGTGTGTGTCTACATGTATGTGTCTGTGTGTGTGTCTGCATGTGTGGGGGGCGGGGACATATGGGGTGAGAGGTAGATGCATAGAGGGGGCAATTTTCGCACCCGAGCCCCATGGTTTCTAGTTACGCATCTGATTGTACCATCACAATACATCAGCACTACTACCAGCAGTGTACCGGTGCTATACTGCTTCCTATTTTTATAAATTATG